TCCTGACCCAAGTGCAGTGCGGGGCAGAGGCTCTCCCTGCCGTGCTGGAGGCACTGGAGCCATGGCAGAGCAGGACAGAGCCCTGTGGTGACAGGGACAGAGCACAGTGTGCTCAGCTCCTGCTCGAGCTTTGGGTGTTCTGCGTTATCAATGAAGGCAGTGAGCAGAAGGTGTCAGGCCACTCTCCCTTCACCACAAGACTGTAGCAGTTCATTTCCATCTCTGGGCCTAACTAACTAACTAACTGTGTCAGGGTGCTGTCTCTGAAGTGTCCTGAAAGGTCTTCTGTGGATGGCATTAGAGCCAGGCAGTGGTGGACACCCTTGTCTTCAGTTTAAAAAAGTATCCTCTAAACTGGTCTCTGTTAAGAGAGGAGTGATTCTATCTCAGTCTTGTGTGGGCATTTGCTGTTAGCCTTTGTGAGATTATTTAAATAAGTCTGGATTTGGGTGTGCAGCTCAGGTGGGAAGTTACAAATACTGTTTTTGTTTTGTTGCAAATACTCCACCTAGGCAATTCCCACATTCCAGCCAAGCCTTTCAGATCAGTTAGACGATGTTGAAATTTCACTTGCAATGAGTAACTTTGGCATATTAATACTTAAGTTAAACTTTTTTGTTTAAAATTTAATTTTTCCAGTTGGAAATTGAAAACTGCGAACTGAGAAATTGAAAACCAGCCCTGAAGCTCTCCTGTCATGCCCAAGTGCTTTGTGCTTGCAGAGAAGGAGGCACAGCCATGCTCCTGCTGTGTGCTGGGCCACGTGCTCCCCTCTGCAGTTCCTCTGTCCCTCTGCATCCGCTCACATCAGCACTGCTGCTTGAGAGAGGCTTCTCTCAAACTCTCACCATAACCAGGCTCTGGAGATGTGCAAAATAACTGATTTAGGAGAGCTTTGGGCTAGGAGTCACTGACACTGAGTTTCACTTTGTAACTGGCCTTGTGGCTCATTCAGTTTGTCCATTTGGGTGTTGGAATGGCGATTTTGCTCTTTCATTTTTTGCCTTTTCGTCCCCCGTGTTTATCTGAAGTATCTGCTGCAGCGCTGTGACTTCCTGCTGCTCTCAGCTCTGGCTGTTTCCTTGATTTAGCTTGATCTCAGTGCAGTTCTTGAGCAGCAACACTCTTGATTTTTCTTTCTTGAGCTGCTCACGTGCTGACCCACAGACTCACAGAGCCGTTAATTGGAGAGGTACCTTGGTGACATTGGTCATTTGGCCACCTCTGATGTGAGGCAGGACCTGGATCATTCATTGCTTTGTCCAGCTGAGTCCAAGACCTCTAGCACCTCCTAACCTGACAGTGAAACTGTGTTTCTGATTTCTGCCACTGAGTGACATGAGTGTTTGTGAGGAGCCTTCCCTTGCTGGTTTCACTGCCTGGATAACGAGGATTGTACCCCGTGCTGGGGAAAGAGTGCTGTTAGAGAAGGTCCCATTGTAGTGAGTGAGCTGTGCTCTGTGCTGTTGGTGTGGTGAGAGGAGAGCTGCCAGGTCCCTGTGTTTCAGTGCATGCAGCTTTTCCCTCTTGTTTGGCAAAAGGTGCAGCAGTTTCTGCTCTGGTTTGGTCCTGCCCTGCAGCTGTATGGCAGTGTCAGATCCATCCAGCCCATATAAAGCAAAGGGACTCCATCCCTTCTCCTTCTGCTGCATCTTCACTGTTAGGGAACTACATGCAGCAGGAAAAGGTTGTGAAAAACAAGCTTTGTGTTTCTAAGCATTAGGGAGGCTTGTGTTCACCAGGGCAGTTATCAAAACACCAACACTGAATGTTCATGAACCACTTGTTTAGAGACTCTGCCAGTGAGTTTCTCACCACTTAAATTAGTTGCCTTGTGCCCTACTTAGTTTGAAGGGATGGAGCTCATCTGTCATGTTCACTCTTTTTTTTTTCTCCCTAAAATCGTATGTTTGCTGCTGCCACTTCAGAGTTTCTTTTGCCTTTTGCTTATTTTTTTTTTTTTTTGTTTTTTTTTGCAATGAACCTGTTATTTCAAACTAGTGCTGTGAGTTTTGGGTAGAGAATTTGAACTTGACTTTGTGGCAGCCTGAGTGAGGTTCAGCACAGATACAAAGCTTATGGCAGCAAGTGCTGTTCACTTTGTAAAGGTTTTCTCACTGTAAATGGCAGCCTTTTACATAATGATTTAGTATATGTGTTGTTTTGATTAATATTCTCTTGAAAGCTGAGGAAGACCCACAAGATGCTTGTGGAGATGGTATATTCTTACTTTGAGTTCAAAATGTATTTTGTGTTTGCAGTTTCCTAAATTTTATTGAATTCACTTTTTACGTGGACTCAGTAAAACTTCTTTTTTCATGGCTGCCTTCCTAGTAGTTTCATTTCATACCGTACAAAGTTTGTTAATTTTTTGGCCTGGTCTATGCTGCTGTCACAGCAGGGTGCAGTTATGGGGTCAAGGTGTGTTTTGTTGGTAGCAAATCCAGTCTAACTCTCCCTTAAAATCATTGAAGTCTCCCTAGAAGCAGGAGGGCCTTGTCCCAAAAGGATTTTTTCAGCTATGATGGCCACACTTGGCTTATTTTAGTTTGAGTTCACCTTTGACCAGCTTTGGGTAATTACTCTGGTAATAATTGTCCTGCTGAATTTGTTGTGTTTCTCCCGCTTTTGTATCCCATTAGTTTTAATATTGGACACAGAACAAATTTCCTTCTGAGGTAAACAAGCAGAGATGTTTTTGTCTGGACTTAGATCAAAACAAAAACAAATACATCAAGAAGTTCAGTTTTAAAGTAAAGTAACCTTTGATTTTGCTTTATCTTAAGGAAGGAGCAGCTTTGACCTCTCCCAGACTGCTGAGAGATGTAATCTAAGGTGATTGTGTTACAAAGCCTCAGGAATCTCCAAATTACATTTTGTCACATGTTTATAGAAAACAAAAATCACTTTTTAGTAGAATGTTCAGCTGAATCCAGGATTCTGGGTTTGAATCCAGGATTCTGGGTTTTGCCTGCACTTGGAAAGTTGTTTTTTGAAGCAAGGAATGCTGCTATTTTTATTTTATTACTTTAATATATATTTGCATTTCCCAGAAACATCAAGCAGCCCAGCCAAAATGGTCAGTTAGCTCTGAACTGGTTTTTGTGTAAGACAGTGTGTCCTTTGCCCATCCCAGCCCCTGAAAAGGGAGAGTATTCATCACCTGTAGGAACCCTGAGAGTGCCCCAGCCTGGCCTGCGTGCGGGTTCGAATGCCTGACTCATCTCGATGAAACGCGGAGATTACCCAGCTAAATTCCCCTCACACCCGCGCTCGGCTGCCTGCTCTGGGACAGGCTTTGGCATTTCGGGCTGGCCGTGGTGCTCCCCATGGAGAGCCCATGGAGGGTGTTTGGGTGGCTGCTGCCCTGGCTGCAGCAAGTCCGTGTGTCCGTGACCCTGCACGGGCAGAGCCAGCCCCGGCTGCTCCCGGCAGCTCTTCCCGAGGGCTGAGCCCTGCATGGAGCTGCCATGGGGTGAGGGCTCGGCTGGGATGGCCGGCTCTGCCTCCCGGGCAGGGCCCCACGGACCTGCCTGGAGTCGTGGTCGCTGCTTGGGCTGTGGCAGAAACTCTGAGCAGAGAGATCTCTGTGGCAGGAGTGGAATCCCTCCGTGCCAGCCCTCTGTAAGGCTGGAGAGGAGGCTGTGGGGCGAGATGCCAGGTTTGCCACAGCTGGAGGTGGTGTGGGCTCAGAGCTGAGGGAGCCTGAGCAGGGCCCGGCCTTTGGGGCCACTCAGGTGTGGGGACAGCCCAGCCCTGAGAGGGGAGGGAATCCTACAGATCTGCATCCCACAGCCCCCACAGTGCAAACTGCAGAGGAGCTGCAGGGTTTGTGGGTGGCTCTGTGTCCCCTTTGTATCTCCATCCTGGCCTTTGTGCCTCCTTCCCCTTGGGTCTCTCTTTGCCTCAGTGCATATTTACAGAACAACAACCGACTCCATGGCTTTGGTTTAGAAGAGGTGCAGATGTTGGCTCGTCTGTGCCCTGTGAAGATACGCCAGTCTTCTTGCAGAAATCTGTGGGAGACTTGCTTGTGGGTGGGGATTTCTCATTCTGTTTGTTTCTCCTCCTTGGTGTAGAAGGTCAGTGCAGCATCAGCTCCCTCTTTTCTCTCTGTTACTTTGTAGGCTCAAAAAGCAAAGCAGCATTTAGAAAGTTTGCTGGAAATTACTGGGAAATGGTGCCTAGAAGTGGCTCTGTCAGTTTATGAAAGAAGCTGATGTGGAGACTTAGAACCATCTAGCATGTCATTTTTGGCTCTTGTTAAAACCTGCAGAGTTGTTATAGCCAGGATGTATTAAAAATATGCATGGGACAAAGCTGGTGCACACTGACAGTATAATTTCTTACTAGAATAATTAACACAGCTGAGAAAAAGCACTTACTTACCAGAGACTTTACCTGTGTTGTGCTTTAAGCCCATATTTATCTAAAAAGATCCACCTTTATCTGTCTGGAAACCTTGCTTGTTACATAACTGCTTAAAGTGTTTTTTTTGAGCAAAAGGGTGTACATTGGATGTGTGCAAGGATAATCTGTAATACATAGAAAAAAGGGTAACATTTAAATAAATTTATGTCTGCTGACATAGATTTCTCCTGGCATTAGGAATCTTTGCAGTTAATTACAAAAATAATCCTACTTTTCCAGAGGAGTACTTGTGAGGAGTTCATGGTTTTATAAATTGTGCAGAGTGATGCTGTCTGTGCAATTCAATACTGAAGAGAGAAACACAGTTTCCCCACAGAGCAAGGCTTATATTTTTTACCACAACAGAGCAGAAATTAATTGGTTTTAGTTCTTTTACTGTCCTTGAGGATTTCAGCCTTGGAAGGACAGACCTTGCAGTGCTGGTAGCAAAGCAGACTGTGCTGCAGAATGTGGTCAGGCAAGGGGAGGATGCAATCCACAGGTTCATAAGCACTGGACCAACTGGCCCCACTGGGTTTTCTGTTGGAGGGAAGAAGATCAGTAAACTGGAACTTAATCTCTCTTTGTAGGTGAAGTCTGTGATAAATCTGCTGTTTGCTGCCTACACAGGGGACGTGTCTGCACTCCGGAGGTAAAAACCAGTGGGGGCTTGGGAATAGGAATTGGGGAATAGGAATGCTGCTGGTTTGGTTCCTGCTGTTGTTTATTTAGGAACATGCACATTCACTGTGTCTGGGTTGGGGACACTGAGCTGCATGAGCTAGAGATTGAATATGTTCACCCAAAACCCAACCAAAATCTAACTATCAAAAAGGTACCCTGACACTATCCTGAATCCCACTGTGTTCCATTTCTTTATATCATAGTAAAACAATTTATTTAACCATTTTTTATAGCAATGGCAGAAAACCCTGTCTATACTCTCACCTGCTTTAATAATCAATTCTGAAAGTGCCACAAAAATTTAGATTGGAAAATGCACATTATTATTGGACAGGTTAGGATATCTAGCTTTGCTTTTGAAATCTGGAAGAGAATCTGGCAAAATTTAAGGTAATAATGATAGTAGACTGAATAAGCATTAATTTGGCTGGAATATATCTAAATATAATTAGTGGGTGGGAAAATCTATGGTATATAGTTTAATTCTGCTGTCCCAGGGAATCATAGTGTGAAGCAGGAACCCTCCCAGTCCCTTAATGCTGCTCAGGATTTTCAGACTTGGGAGACTTCCTGGGATTTTCTCACCTGGTACAAATTTACTTTGCCTTAGGTGGCTTAGCTTGTCCATGAACCATTTTAAATCAGGCTTGTTGAGTGTTATGTTTTCTGCAAAGATGTTTTATTTTTATTTATGACAACTAAAGAGCAGAAAGGAAGTTAAGGCACTAAGCTGATTTTCAGAGCCAAAGCCCTTTTCATTATCAGCTGAGATAAAATACGTTCCTGGTGCTGCTTGCATCCTCTTGTGGCAGGGCAGTGTCCTGCCATGCTGGTTTTGTGATGTGCTCTAAGACTTGCCTCTGCAATCTCTTTTATTGTGTTTTATTTTGTTTTTAAGGTTTGCTCTGTCAGGAATGGATATGGAGCAAAGAGACTACGACTCACGGACAGCCCTGCATGTGGCAGCTGCAGAAGGTACTGTCTCCTCACACAGCATTTCCTGTCTGTCTGTCTGTCTGTCTGTGTGCTTTAGCACATCCTTGCTGTCTCTGCATAGCTGCTTTTATCTGTACATAAATGGATGTATGGAAGTAGAGGCACTCACAGAGCTCCTTTTCCTGCAGGACACGTGGATGTTGTCAAGTTTCTGCTGGAAGCATGCAAAGTGAATCCTTTCCCCAAAGACAGGTGAGTGGTTTTATTGCTGGTTTGGAGGGAAGATGCTCCAGTAGCACTTTCCTAGTGTCTGTGAGGAGAGATAGGAGTGGAATGTGTTGAGCCAGGCCACTGGAGCAGGGAATGGGATCCTGCTGGTTCTCTGTAGGTTCTGCAGACTGAGCAGGAATGAAAAATGAGCCACTAAACCCATTATTTCAAAGGTTATGCTCAGCTTAATGAAGTTCCACAGTTACTGAACTGAATGGGGTCTGTGTGCTGAGCCATTAGTGCAGAATGTAAAGAACTGGATTTGTGGTGCTTAACGTGCTGATTTTAAAAATTCTGTGCTGCTTTTTGTAGGTGGAACAACACTCCTATGGATGAAGCTTTACATTTTGGACACCATGATGTTTTTAAAATTCTTCAAGAGTATCAGACCCAATACACGCCATCAGAGGATAACAACGACGGGAAGGAGAACCGAACGGTTCATAAAAATCTGGATGGCTTGCTATAATCATCTCCAGCTAGACCCTAAGAATCAAATCACTTACCTATTTAATTGTGGTATGCATAAGTAATGAAGAGCGTGTGTGTTTCTATCTGATAGTGGTATATATTTTACAGAAGTCTCTGTTACTTCAGTGTTACGTTGCAGGAGTTTCTATACGCACAGGACAAATCCAATCTCTTCAAAAGAAACAAAACCAACTAAGAATCTCCCTCCATAATGTGAGCAATATTACCTCATGCTGCATATAATTGATGTATAAAAATATTTAGCTGTTGTTGGCTTTACTGTGCACTACTTAATTTATTTTTGTGTTCTATGTGAACTCTAGTCTGTGGTCAGGAACTTTTCTGCTGAATTTTTGTTTCTTTAGCCCTCTGTTTCTAGTATGGCCAGGATGAGCCAGAGTACTGTCAGGTATGAGCGTCAGTGAGGTTTTTTGAAAGCTGAGGATGCTGATGTAGATGTAGGCTGGGTGTGTTAAGTAAGGATCTGCACTTATCTTTGGGAAAAAATAAAAAAAAGAATTCCACACAACCTTGTTTACATAATATAAATATCACAGAGTATATAGGTGACACTTGTCAATGGTCTGGGCTTGTTCTTAGAGATAGTCGTGTCAGGGAACGTGTTTTAAGGTTTGTTTGACCAAATGGTGTAGGGGAGTGTGACGTGTAGCTGGGTATGTAGTGGGATTTGTGTCTTGGGAGCGTTTCTCTCAGTTCCTCTGTCTTGCCTTGCTCCTCTCTCTCCACGTTCAGCTGCTAAAGTACTTCCCTGTGGCCAGGGAATGTGGGTGCTTCCACTCGGTGCAGGTGTTCCTTGCAGGTGTTTTTGCACTACCCTGGGGGGCTGGCAGGGGCTGCTCCCTCCTGGAGGCGGCCCCAGGAGCCAGCCAGGGCATGGAAGTGCTTGAAAGGCAAAGAACCAAACCAAATACAATCTGAGCTCATTGAGGCTTGTGGCAAGGAGCACGCATGGAGTGAAACAGCTTTAAGGAGCGTAGAGCCAATCCGAACAGGAGCAGAGCAGGAGATAAGCCAGGTTTTGGGGTATGTTCTCTCCTTGCACTGCCATCAAACCAGGGAGCAGGATATTGCATCGCTGGGATTCCCCTGGTGTAGGACAGGAGTTTAGCACCAGGAGCACAAGTGAGTAAATGCCTTTTGTGGTGAATGGTGGCATTCATTGTCTTGCCACTGAAGCCAGCATGGCACGTGCCCTGTCGTGGAAAATGTGGATGCAGGTATTGTAGTTCACACAAGCCCAATATTGCCACAGCTCCCTGTCCCAGGTACAATTGCTTCTGCCAGTAGTGTGGCACAAACCTCAGAAGTGGGCAGTCACTTCAGATACTCACAACACACTACAGTTGTTGGACGTAGGCAAGGATTTTAGCACAAGAGTTTTAGGCAGGAATCATTTAGCACATGGAAAAGGAGATTGTGCTTGAGAATTGTGTATATGGTGGTTTTTATCCTAGCACATAGTGTACAAGTCATTAGTAGATCTCAGAGGTCAAATTTTCTGTGTTTTGGCACCAAAATCTCCGAATTGTGCCCAAATTCTTCCTAGAATGCCCAAGCACTTTATAAAGATGATCTGAACCACATTACCCTCCTTTAGCAATGGGGACACTAAGGCTTGGAGAGAAGTCACTTCTCCAGAGCGACCCAGCAGGTCAGTATAGCTGAGAATTAATCCTTTCAAGTTCCTGTACAGTCTCTTGTCCAAATGCCATACTGCCTCCCTGCAGGGAGGAGAAGCCACGTGGAAAAGTGCTTGGTACTCATCACAAGCTGTGACTGTCTTCATCATGAACGAGTCTGAAAGTCTAAAGCCCTCAAACAGCATCTCGAAGCTGGCTGGCATGGTTATCAAACACTTTTTCTTAAGAATCCTCCTGTTCTTAAGCTGGTTTGGTTTTTGTTTTTGTTTTTTCTTTGTTCTTCTGAAGATCAGCTATTTTTCTGAAGGCTTTTAACCCATTCTCTTCACATTTAACCCATTCTTACCAGGCCACCCCTGCTGTAAACAAGAACTAAATGAAATGGCCTCTGGCTCTTTGTTGAGCCACATCAGTCACTGGGTAGCACAAGGGAACAAAATTATGAGCTTCAGTGTAAAGGAATATTTTCAGATGGATCCTAGTTTAAAATGATGGATTTCAGTGCTCATCCTCCCTATCTTGCCCCTGTTACAACACATTCTGTAGCTTCTCAGAAAAATACCTGATGTAGCTTTATTTAACTGACATGGTGTTGTTCAAACTGGCATTTTCAAACATAGGTATGTTATATAGTACACATGATATAAACAAACCAAAACCAAAAGGATTGTAACTGAGCTAACAGTGAAGATCATGGCTGTCCCTAAATTAATGCTTTCATACTGAGTGCTTTTAGCCAGTCCTAGCTTCAGTGCATTTTTGCTGGTTAGTTTTAGTATTTTCTCATTGTGAGAAGATGGATTATTTTGTAATGTCCAATTCAGCGATGCAGCTACTTAGCCATGGCGTTATTTATAAATAGAAATATATGCAGTACTGCATTGGTTTGGCTGTTTATCATTCATGACACTGACATGTAGATTTTCCAGTAAATAGCTTTTGGTTATCTTATCCAACGCTGACTTCCTTACGCTCCAAAGAAGATTCCCCCCACTCCTTTGTTTTTATGTCATATATGTTTCTTCAGTATGACAACCTAAAATCGTTCAGCTAACTTAATGCTTTGTACTCAGAAATATTGTGGTAGTCTTAGCATTAATTAGCCTTTGTGAACAAACTGTATTGTACCAGATTTTTTTGCTTCAGAGCTGGACTATCCGTGACTATACTTACTGGCAGTGTACTTCTGGTCATTGTAACTGACTGGGCTGATCTTGACTTTTAGATTCTGTATTGTGGGGACTAGACAGTGATGAATGTATTTCTAGCAGTTTCCCATGAATGAATCTAAACTTGAGCTGTACTGGTTCTGAAAATGAAAGTTATTTATTTTAAGAAATAAAATCCAGATAGTGTTGCTTTTTACAGCATAATAAATGGAAATACCAAGGTGATGGTGGTGCTGGTGGGTTTTATTGGTTATCTGTGGGATTGCCACTGAAATAAGTCTTCATCTGTGGGAAGGCTGTCCTGGAAAACCTACTCTGGTCATTTCCATTGTGCAAAGCATACAGGAAATCAGAATCAATTTCTGTCCTGTAGCATTTCCCTGTTTTGTTTTGTTTTTTTGTGTTTATTTTGAAATGTACACTTCCAGAGCTGTGTCCTTTCACTGGTGGTTGCTTTTTGTTAATGCTGGAATTCTGGCCATGTACTCTGGACAGGTCAAGCTTTCTTTTGACTTACTCTGCTTTCCTTCATCACACCAACAGTTTCCTTTATTATTCTTCTGGCTGTACAGTTCATAGAAAACCTGACCAGTGTGAGATGAGGGATTTTGTCACTTCCTATCCCCAGAGAAAAGCAGCAGGCTCCAGCTTGGTAGCCCACAGAGATGAGCTATAGATCAATTATCCTACTGAGGACTCAAGTTAGAAATTCAGGTTCAGTTTATTGAAGGTTGTGTGCGGATGGAAACAAATGAATGACGGGATACAACCAGTAATAAAAAAAGGTAACAGCCACCTTCTAACAACTGCAGTGCAGACAAGCCTGCCACAATGCAGAGAATTAAAAGCATGGATACAGCCTCAGGCTTCAGAGCTGTAACTCTTTAGTTGCACAAACAAGTTTAAAATGAGATACAGAGTAGTAAAATACAGACTGGCACATCCACTTATCATAGACGTAGCCAAAACATGAGAAAGGACAAAAGTGACAACTGAGAGTTCCTTTTATTTAAAATATATAAAAGAATATTCCATTGAGGAAAACTCACTACTTCTAGAACTACTGGCTATGGAAAGACCAAGCTGCGAATAAGGCCACGGCTTTAAGTCCCACAAAACTGAAGAATACATGGTTTGTAGAACATGAATACAAAGCATAGCTCAAAAAACAACTTGATTTTTGTATTAGCAACAGATACACATCCAGCTGTTACAGTAAGATAAAAGCATTAAGTCATTTCCTGTAGCACTGTTAATCCCAGTAACTCAGGGCACCAAAAATAAGTCAGTTTGCAATGCTTTCATTTAAATACACGCGCTACATGCTCTAGGTCCTTTAGTTTTTCTAGGAAGCTTTTTCAGGGGGCACATCAGATGTCTTGGGCACAGCACACCACAGTGAAGCAGCCCTGTTGTTCCCGAGCAGCAGCTAATGGGTGTGAGGGGCCCTGTCCCAGCCCTGCTCAGGCAGGGCCTGCAGTGTCCCTGTGCCTGGACAGGGCTGCAGCCCCTCTGCTCAGCTCCTGCTGATGAGCAGCTGCACTGACAGGGCCCCTCAGGGAGACACAGCTGCCTCAACTGAGAGCTGTTCATTGCCTTTAACGTGCTGAGAAACCAACCTGTTCCTCCTCTGGTGGAAGCACAGCTCCGTGCTTTAGGTACTGCAGACTGCATATCCTGCAGCCATTGCTCTGGATAAACTTTAACTTCTTTTCACTTTCCTGTGCCCTAATTACAAAACCACTTCATTACCAAAACCTGTAAAGTGTTTTAGCTATTCAAATTAACAGTTAAATAAATGCCCTGGTTCATGGTGCATGAGAAAACTGAGTTCCATTCCACCTGTTATAACCTACAGGGGCTCTGTATTATTGCAGAAAATGGGGGTGACCAGATCCTCACCTTGGCAGATCAGGCACAGTAAATAAAATCATAATTCAATCCCTTTTGCAGTCCTCCAAGAGGAGGTTCTGATTCTGTCTGATGACTGCAGTCTGCAGAGGCTTTAGTCTTGATTATGCACCTTGGGTTCCAAGCTCAGCATGTGCCAATGCAGCTTGAAGGTGGTGTCCTAAGAAATGCTTTTTTTGAGAAAGATTGTGGTAAACATCCCTACACAAGATTGTGCCTTGTGAAAATGAAATGCATGTAACATTTTGGGCTTCTGCTCTCTCCATGGGCCATGCCCAGACGAGCTAAAAGCACAACAAACCAGCAGCACATGGATTTGCTGTGGCATGCTATGTGCAGAGCGTTTCCCTTTTGTGATGCAGACAAAAATTCAAGGTATAAGCTTTCTGAACAGAACCTTTGCAAAACAACCAGCTTTTCTTTGAAGCCTTCTATGTACAGTTAACTGTTTTAAACTTATAACTAATTTCTTCAAACAATGAATGCATGTTTCTGCCATCACTGTCATTGAGGAGCTCACAATCTCACCTTCCTCTTCCTTCACTCTGACACAGTATCTTGCTAATTAAACAAAGATGTGCACGGTATCTTGCTAATTAAACAAAGATATGCTTGTAGGGAGGCTGCTCAGGCTGCTGCTGTTGGTATTGCCATCAGCTAGAACTGCTGCAGGACCTTGAGGCTGAGGAACCAAGGAAGGGGAGCGCTGTCCCCAAGGCACTGATGCAGCACAGGAGGCGTGAAGCGGATGGGCCGTGCTAATGACACAGGGAAAGCTCAGCCAAAGCTCAGAGCTGGATGTGTGTGCACATCTGCAAGGAAAAGGAGAAAAGGAAACCTCATTACACAGCCCCAGCCATGCTTCTCAAGTCCTTGGAGCCACAGAGCATGACCACCTTGTGTTCCAGCCACACTGATTCACATCAGCATTCAGCTGCTCGGGGTGGGGATCACTTGAATTTGTTTCTTTTCCTGAAGCACACCCTGGCAGGGCAGCACTGCTCTGCTCACAGGCAGCACTTCCAAAGTGCCCTCCTGCTGGGGCCCTCCTGACACAGCCCCCACCAGAGGCAGGATAGGGACGCTCCTTCCTCCCCTGCCATCTCTCCTCCAGCAAGGCCCACACAGAATCTTTGCTCTCCTGTTCTTCACCCTTCTCCTGCAGACACATGTGAAAAGCAACTGCTGGCAATCCCAGTCTAACTCTGGATCCCAGCTTTTCCTATGCTTATGGAGAGATGTGTTCTCTGCCTAAGAATCTGAGGTATGTCTCAGATAGGGGGGAAGAAAAGGGAAGAGCAAGCTGTGTCTGAAGCCCAGAGCCCCTGGTACGTACCACAGTATCGATTTCTGCGGGGCCCACCATGCGAGACACCTCATCAAACTCCTCGGGAGACATGGGCAGCAGGTTTTCTGGAGACTGCAGCCTGGAGGGGTGCCTGAGGGACAAGAGCAGGGATTAAAAGGTGCCTGAGGGACAAGAGCAGGGATTCACTGTCACCAAAGAAATGAGGCACAGCTGGGCTACTCTGCCTGGCCACCAACCAGGCCCCTTGTGAGGAAGAGCAGGCTTTGCAAAGCCAGCCTGGCTTTAAATGAAACTCAGACTACTCAGGGATGCACATCCTAACCAAAGAAGTCCAACAACTATTTGAGAACGTGCTTTTCACGAAATTACTTGCCTGTACAACTCCCTGCAAGTTTTTTTACCTAAAAATGGTGTTTTGAACACAGCAGC